TTGAGTAATGTTATAGGCATTCGAAACAGTGCTTGCATTACGGTCAGAATCGAGGATTTCCGTTATTTTATCGAGCGAAATAGACAAATCCAAAACTCTGAATGATTGACTGATAGAGCATCGTCAGCCAATGAAATCCAACGCAGAATCACTCTTGCCAACAGATGCTACTTTGGACTGAGTAGGCAGTTGAAAATTAAAGTCCTCTCTCGGCGAACGAAAACCTAACTCTACAAGTCTATCATCGTTCCCGTCCTGCTATAAGGTGCGGAAGCATGGACGATGACAACATCTGATGAGTCGGCATTAGGAGTTTTCGAAAGAAAAGTTTTGCGTAAGATTTATAGTCCTTTGCGCATTGGCGACGGCGAATATCGCAGACAATGGAACGATGAGCTGTTATACGGCGACATTGATATAGTTCAGCGAATCAAGAAGCAGCGGCTACGCTGGCTAGGTCATGTGGTCCAGTTGGATGCGAATACTCCAGCTTTAAAAGTTTTCGATGCAATACCCGCCGGTTGAAGCAGAAGAAGAGGAAGACCTCCACTCTGTTGGAAAGACCAGGTAGAGAAGGACCTGCCTGTACTTGGTATATCGAATCGGCGCCAAAAAACAAAAAAGAAGAAACGAATGGCGCAATGTTCTTAAATCGGCCAAAAAAAAGTAAGTACGTAAGTAGAGTATCGTGACCATAAACGTTATTCACATTTCCTATTGTCTGACTAGTGTTTGCCACTTTATCGAATAAAAACTATAGAATATAGTGTATTTTCTCTTTACTGTTTCTAATATTTAGCTTAAAAATTAGCAATTTGTGTAGCGATTGCTCTAATTATGGAAAAGTTCTAGGTTAGAACAGTAGCTTCAAAGGAAAAATAAGAACTTTCTCGTTTCGGCATTGGGAAAAAATCGTTCTGGATGTTGGAGGTCTTAAACTTTTAGAAGTAATTCATTTGTATTACTTTGAAAGGATGATTCATTATGCTTATCGTCCTATGACCTATACAAGTTTTCCTTCAGATATCTCTTTTTTGCCTAATATGCTAATTTACAAAATTTTTTAATCTTCACAAACATAAAGAGCGCTTAAAACATAAATTCTTCCAAATGGATACGAAAATATATGTGAGTAATTTTAAAAATATTTTTTCTTTATGTCAAAAACTGTCCTAGAGGGTTTGAACATTCCAGCTATGAAGAGATATTAGGTGTAGTGAAAAGAAATACATTATCTCTCTAATAGATAGACCCGATGGGGTTCGGCTACTTTGCGTTAGAAACATGACATTTCCTACTAAAAAAAGCTTTTCTGACAGTTCTGTGATTGATTCAGTTTTGTTTGAGCGTGCATCAAAGATGGACATTGGAAAAAAGAAAATACGCTATATTTTATAGTTTTTCTTCGGAAGCGTTTATGGTCCCGATACTGTAACACTCAATCATGCACAATTTCGGTTTCATTTCGGTAATTTCCATGTCATAGATGCAGGCCAATTGTCGAAAATGTCGATGAAATCATAGACATTGTCCAGCCCGACCATCATGTAAGCACTGTTTCGATTCCCCAAGAGTTAAAGATTGCCCAAAAAACCGTTTGGAACCATTTGTATAAGACTGGATTCTAAAAATTAAAAAAAAAAAAAATAATGGATTTCTTTTTACTACACCTAATACATGTATATGTAACTACTTCATACCGTGTATACAGTAGTACATTTATATATTTTGATAACTGTTAAAAAAATCTAAATAATGACTTCAAAAATTTCCTTTTTATTTGAAGAGAGTATTTGTCTGGCCCATTCTTCCGCACATAAAAATCTCGGTTGTTGTTGTTGTAACCGCAAAAATATTCCTCAAAGTATTTTTTGGAGAATGTTGCGAGAGTAACAGTCCTTGGCTGGATAAAAAATCCGGGTCGTTGCCGTTATGAAGACCCGACTGTAGCGGGAATTATGAGATTTTAATCGCCTCTTACGACAGGCTTGCCTTACCGCGGATAAATTCTTGGACCCCTAAGTTGCAGGGGGTTAGGTAATTTTGGTATCTTCCCACGGCAGACCAGACATGCCTTATCGCAGGAACGATGCTGGTACCTTGCGTAATTTTTCGTTAGCTGATAATCTGAATTTGGAACCAACTAAAAGTCATATGCATGTCAAAATTCCACCCCTCTTATATGCTTACGTAGCAAAATATGTTTCATTCTCTACTTTTGTTAATTCCAAGTAAATACCTATGCATATAAACAAATTATGGCAAAACTGTGTAAAATATTAACTCAAATTGTGGACCAAATCCATTGAAAATATGTACATATACACATATGTATGTATGCATTTTGGAGCAAATTGAATCTGCGATTTCTAATGTCGAAAGCCGTCGCTTTCTGCCTCCGTTTTTACTTTGTTTCGTTGTGTCGGAGTGCAATAGCACTACTAGTTTTAGAAAGAAACGACGCTAACAAAACAATTCAAAACACAAATCATGTGCACATGTTGACATCGTATTTAAAGCAGCAACAAAGTTAACAGAACCCATACACAAAGTCGAACGTACTTATATCAATGCATACACATCCCACAAACAATGCCGACAATAATAATGAAGCAAAATATATGGCAGCGGCAACACGAACAAAGCAACAAAGTAAAGGAAGCCCTTTTAGTTTAAGTATTTTTCGTCGTTATATCCGTCATAAGTGTTCTCCTTATAGAGAGCACAGATGCGAATTGTCGCCAGTGTTTTTGTTGGGTCAGCCATTGTGTTATCAAATTGAGTGAGTGAGCGAGTATGAGAATGAGAAAAGGCGTATTTGAAGTTCGTGCAACAAACAAATACTTCTCAAATGTAAAGATGGCCGCCGTAATGGCTGAATTGGTAAAAATGGAATAAGTTTTTCAATGGAACCAGAGCCAAGCAAGTTGTAACATACATATGTATATATGCATGTAAATGCATGCTCGACATTGTTGCGACCAGTACGACAAAGCGGAAGAAGCCATACAATTATGAAATGTGTTTATATGTATATGTATATGTCGGGCTAGCATTAATGGCAGTTGTGTAACGGTGGTGGCTCCTATGAAAGCGAGAGCCGGCATCACAATGCAATTGGTATATGCTTATTTCCGCTCTCTCGTTTCGAAAGGAAGTACCGCTCAGCATTAAACGCCTTTGAAACAGCTGATTCGTTGGGTGAACTGTGTGCTTTGTATCTATGAGCTTGAGAATATAAAAATATTGAAGTGATTTAATTGAGTACATTTTTGTCATTATACACTCACGGTTTCTTACTTGCGGAGCATATACTCTAATTCTCAAAAAGTGTTGCTCGACTAATTCTCAGCTGGTTTATCACTCATTGCAAAATCGTAAAATCGAATTGTTTGATTTTTGTGGCAATTGTGGTCTGCTGTCAGATTCCAGTCGGTTGAGAGAGCTCGTTCGGTGAAGTACATAATTAAAATCATACGTTGGATTAAAGGTGTAACGACGTTGAAGAGCTCAACAAAAGTTATTTAATTAAAATATAAACATAAAACAAAGCCAAATAGTAGAACTTAATACAATATTTTTCTATAATTAATGTGGATAATAAGCAAACACGACTTAAAATAGTTAAAAAATAATAATTTTATGAAATTGTGATAAGTTAAGAAAACAAAAAAGTATATGTATAGTGAAAAGTGGCGAACCTAATCAAAGTTATACAGAAAACAGAAAGGTTCTTTGGAGCAATTCAATCGGGTACATGAACACGTACAATAGTTAACGTGGCTTGCGTCGAGTATTAAGAAATTCTGACCTCAATATATATATATGCGAGGCCAGACAAACAGGGCGTTGTAACTTTTTACTGCTGACACTTCAACTATGTCGACAACTTATTTGTAGAGCTTACTCGCGAAAGACGCAGAGAACGTTTACGTCGTAACAATCGATTCGCTAGTTTCATCAATCGTTGCCTCACCGCAGAGGGTATCTCGCTCGGTTCGTCGAACAGTCGGCTGGTGGTACATAAGTACATATGTAAATATGTATATTAATGGTCTATCAAGGCTCTAGGGACGTATAAAAGAGATGGCGTATTTATACTAATCTCTTTGTATTTGTTTTGAAGAAAAGTGCATACTAAATCCAAGGACTAAAAGGGTTCATATTACCTTTGTCGGGCGCCTAATTACTGTAAAAAATGTAAAATGAAAGTGATTGTAGTGGTAATAACAAAAACAAGATTACGCTAAACTGCTGAATATAAATAAATATTTTGTGGAGTGAAACGTCGAAAACACTCAATCGGTGGTCTCTTTCACTCAGTGGTAACCACCATCCATCCCAACCGGAGGACAGAAAGTCGTCAACGTCAACGTCGACGCCGACTTCGCTGCTGCATCACTTAAGCCCTGAAACTCTGCTGAAACAACGATGAAACCGTAGACGGAGCCATAAACCAGCAGTTAGCAAACGAGGGCAGTCATTAAGAATTTTTTTCAAAACACCTAAACTGCTCGTAGTAAATGGACGGTTGATCAAACGGAAAAAGAACATTAATAAATGCCGCCGTCGCGCTCATATTGATTAAAACAAATTTTAGCCCTTTGATATTGTGACTAAAACAACTCATATATACATATATACACCAACACATGTAAACATACAAAATACATATGTAATTAAAATAAAAATTTTTAAGGCTGAGTTATTTTTTGTAAGAAAAAAAGACGATTCAAAAGGAATTAAATGCATAATGTAATTTAAGTTCTTTTCTTGTGAATAAAGACTGATCACCGGCAACAAGGATTATTCCAAAAAATTTAATAAAAACATAAAAACATTACAGCAAAGCCAATGCAACAGCCGAATATAATATAAATGAACATAAAAATACACAAACAAATGCGGGTTAACTAAAATAATTAAACGATAAGCAGCTACTTAGTGGAAAAATAAATATATACCTACCTATGTACATACAAATAGCGAAATAAATTTAACAAATTACGCCTGAATAAAGAAAAAAAAAACACTAAATCAGATAAATATATATTTCTACCTACCTGCTAAATGTAATATAATAGAAATAACAGTAAATCGTAAAACTTAAATTCAGTGGAAAAATAGCAACATATGGATTAACGTTCCTGATATTAACATAAAATAAATAAATAAATACTTACATACATACATACCCACACAACAACAACACGTATTTATATGTGAAAATCTACCTAAGCTCTTCGGTCTGCTGCTAATACAACGCGAAAACTGTTTCAAACAAAAAGAAAACGGAACAGCATCAAAGTGTTTATTAGGAAACGCAATAGCACCAGTCTAAATAAATTCGTATCGTATCGTAATTCGTTATCAGTGTAAAATGTGTCAGTTGTGTATTGTTTAAAACGTTTTGATATCCTATCGGGTTATTGAAACCCCAAAAAAAAGTAAGAGTTTTTCCTGCATTCGCAACACCAGTGCCTGAAGATAAATATGTGCAAGAAGTGAAAATTTGATGAGGAAAAGGATATACATATATTCATGAATATTTCGTGCCACTTCAAGAAAATATAATACCGAAAACAAGGAAAATCAGTGCCAACAACAAAAGTACCACGCGTTTTGTGTTTGTGCTAATGGCCACAAAAATTAGTCCTCTCATTGAGTTTACCCCAAAGCATTAAAAAAGCATACGATATAAAAATTGCATGAAGTCATTATTTTGAATCGAATTAAAATACAATACATAAGTGGAAGTAGATTTTGTGAAAAATTCTATTTGTAACATTGTTAAAATTATTGACCAAAATATTGCCAAAATGACGATGGCAGCCTGCTATGCCAACTACGACATACCTTTGTCTCATAGTTTGTCCACTGCGGCGTTGCTCAACGCTCAGCATCATTCCAATCACCACAGCCACAGCCATAGCCATAGCCACCACCAGCAGCACCATCAGCAAGCGCAACAAACACATCATCACCACCAACAGCAGCAGCTTTATCACCACACACAGCAACAACAGTTGCAACAACACCAGCAGCAGCAGAACTTGCAATCAGCGAATAGTGCGTCATCGTCATCAACAATACATCAGCGTTCGTCATCTCTGACGGCGGCGACGCCGACTGGCCGCGTTGGTAACGCCTCCACAGCCACCCCCGCCGTCGCCGCCACTAACTCAGTGATTAGTAACACCAATATTGGCAGCGCTAGCGTCGGTAACAGTCGCAACAGTAACAGTTCGACTTTGACAACTGCTCCAACAGTGTCCATCATCAGTGCCGGCGGCGCAGCGTCACCCCAGAAAGACTATTCTATTCCTTTACATGTTGATTGCAGCGTGGAATACGAACTACCAAATCAGCCCAAACCACCAGTAGGTCAGCGGGTTGAGCCATTGCTTATGATCCATCCTTGTTATTTTCGTAAGATGGAATCTCAGCGTCGAAGTCCCTTTGTGAACAATATGCAAGCGACATCGCGTAGTACCGCCGCTTTGCTGGTTACGGGCTTAAACGGCTCTTCATCGTCATCAGTAATAGCCTCAACAAGCGGAACAGCATCTTCAGTTGCGGGCACATGTGGTTCTGCGAGCACGGGTTCTACGATTCGTCGCTCTTCTGTTCGCCAATCTCAGGTTATTCAACATCAACAACAACAACACCAAAATCAAACGCAGCAACACTTACAGCAACAGCAACAGGTAGTTGCTCAATATCAACAGCAGTTACAGCAGCAACAATTGCGACAACCTTCACAACAGGAGCAGCAGCAAGAACAGCAGATGTCACAAGTGTCACAGCAAGCACACTATCCAGTGGTAGTTACACATCATCACCTCAGCCATCATCAGCAACAATCGCAAACGGCGCAGCAACAACAACATGCTAACATTACTGCTACTGCGGCGACTTCCTCATCCGCATCATCAAGCTCTGCGTATATGGATCACGTTAGTGCAGTAAGAAGATCGGCCGCAGCAGCCGCCTTGCATCACCGTAACAACCAAAGCCGAGCCGCCACCACTGTTTCAAGTAGTGTAAGCCAATCGCATCAACAACAACAACTGCAACGTTCAAGCCAAAGTCATAGCCGCACTACATCTGCCTCAATCGCAGCTGTGGCTGCTGCAGCAGCCGCGGCAGCCGCCGTTACCTCTCAAAGCCAACAAAATTTAATAAACCAAAATGCCTCACAATGGGATCAGCTGGCAGCGATCGCTGCACGTTCCTCAATGACACCAGCAGCAGCTGTTGCGGCTGTTCATTCCAGCCAAATGCTTGCTCCACGGAGCACAACAGCGATATTTAGCAAAAGTCTGTCTGCCGTTGGCAAACGCGACGCTATGATATCTGGAGGTGTTTACAACGGTGGCAGCAATGCAACAACAACACATCTCAGCGGAAAACAACAACAACAACAACAGCAACAGTCGCAACAACAAGTGCATTGCTTGCCTACTGGCGCAATATGGGCTGACCCGAGCAGCGTTGCATCCGTTCCGGCTGCCACCTCGTCCACAGCCTCAGCGCTGATGGTGGATCGCAGCCCTATGGCAACAGTTCCTAGCAATTACCAGGCTGGTCCTGATACCACGCCAGCAATAAGTTCGCATTATACGCGGGATGACAAAGTCAGTGGTAAATATCGTCAGTATTTGCGGTCGCAGCGTATGCATCCCTACTTAGCGGCAGCCACAACTAATGTGGCAGCGGTAGCTGCAGCGGCTAATCTTGGACAGACATTTACACAATTCGCTGCAACACCGTCATTTCAACATCTACAGCAGATATCCTGCTATAATGTATGATCGACATAAAGTGCCGGTATAGCAGCGATGACAGCGAAATTGCAACAATGAAGGCAACAACAAACTGTAAGTGTTTCGCCTATTGGATAAACGGAAAAAAACGTAGTGCAGTGCAACTTGCAAAACGCTTCGAAGAAGCTCAGCAGAAGCTTTGCAGAATATGCGTATGAAAGCCGGACAGCACCGAAATTTTGGTCTTCGGTATGCATTTGACGCAAGCAAGCAAGTCGTGTAGTATTTTTGGAGTTAGCCGATTTCGCATGATTGAAGGAATATATATATAGTAGTAGTCTGAAATTTTAGAGCCATTTGTTATACTAAATTATTGATTATTTTCAAATTGCGTAAATATCGCATTTCAAAAATTAAAGGAGCAGAAATGAAATTCAAAATTATATAAACATACATTGTAAAAGTAAAATTAATGTTAAGCGGTAAATGCTAAATTGTTAAATTGATAATGAAATCGTTAGAAAAAGTTTGAAAATAATAAGACTACATACATACATACGTTATTGGATACACATTGCCGATATTCGAAATGCTATTGATGACTAAAAAACAGTTACTCGAATATACTTACTCAAATGCTTAGAAGTTCTTGTTATACGCTTGCTGTATAAGCCAATTGTAGACATACACTTATACATATGTATGTATGTAAGTATGTATGCATGTATATATACATATATGCCCAAAAGTGCAACACTAAAGGTTGCATTTTACCGGTGATTGCCACAGGAAATAGAGGAAACTATCCTCATAGGCATTTTCAAATGTCCGTATGTACACACATACATATTATAAATATGTTTTTTTTTTTCGTTGTATTTATGAACGTACGCTAATGTGCCAGCCAATCAGTCGGGAAGTGTGAATATGCTGCGATAATTACTAAACATGCCGTCGGCAAATAGCGAATAGTGAATTTCACATTTTCTTGGCGTTTTCACTGCACGCGCATTATTATATTTGCTGTTTTACTTTAACATTGTTCGATTTTTACTTAACCTAATAATTCTGATTTCGGATGACTCAAAATGCATAAGATTCCAGCGGCTGTTTGCTGTGCTGTGAATTTGAGTGGACGCTGCTGATACATATAGTATATACATACATGAATTTTCCATGCGTTCCTTTAAAACAATTAGAAGGTTTTTATTGCTTTAATTTTTTAACAATTTTTGTTACATACACATATTTGAATATTTGATAACACATGCATATGTAGGTGCTCATAATATACTCCGTAAGCTTGTTTCTTCTCAGAAATCGGTGACCATCATTGCTTTCGTTTCGCCACACTTTTCGTGAATTTATTATTGCGTGCAGTTTTTTTTGGAAATTAAGACTTTATTGTGAAAAAATTGTTATACATTTAATGTGCAAAGCTACGTTGTTTGCCCATCTTTCTGGCTTGTGTATTCCAACCCAAAATAACTTCTCCGACTTGGAAGTAAATTATTGTAACACATTTGAAAACGCTTGTGAAATTTCCAAATCCAAATTAAATCGAAAAGTGATAAAATGAAATTAATCACGCTAGCTATGTTTTTAGTTGAATTTCACAGAACTCATAGACATGTACATATATATATGTATGTAGTACCTACATGTATATGTTAGGAAGTATGTTATGTACATGTGCTAGCTATTACATTTAAATGAAAATGCGGTCTTAAAGGTACACATTTGTACATATAAATATATTAGATACGTACGTGTATCTACCCATATATCTATATACTACAGAGTAGGTTTATAAGCATTTTCATATAATCCATGAAATTTTCTAAATACCTACTTGAATTTGCTTTGTTCGTTCGAGTTTTTTTCCCTCATTTTTGACCTGTTATCAGTTTTTACTTTGCATATTTACTATTCGCCTTGTTTTAATGAAACTGATCACGTTTAGGTCAGCTAAAATAATATAAAAATAATTTCATCTTCCTAAAATTAAATAAAATTACCTATATTTATTAAGCATGCATGATTTCTTTTTCATGTATGTAAATATAGTGGCATGTGTTAGGACACATTTACACCATTTTAAAAAAAAAAAAAAAATAAAAGGCTTTTTCGGTTTCAAAATTTAAAAAGAAAACTACAATATAATTATTTGAATTAATTTCGAACGGAAATCGCACTTCTTACGAATGAATTGAATAGAGCTTCATGTCCAATCAAAGATCTTTTGCTTTCTTCTATACATAATAAGAGATACCAGTTGGAACCTAGTGCTTCTCTAGTGCTTAGTCTTATTTCTATTAAATAACAGAAAAATCGTTTAAATGTTCGTTGCCTGTGTGCCTCTTCTGTCTTGAACTTGTTTACCTAGCAGAATCTGGCAGAAAGCTACAAGGTTTTCAGTGTCCAAAAAAAAATATATATTTCTTTCGCTTCCATAAATATGTATGTATGTGTGTGTTAAATTTCCGTTGTATTTTGGCTTTATGCTATATTATTTAATGGATTTCCTATTAATGTTCAGTGATAAGCAGTTACATACAAACATACATATGTATAGGGGTATGTATGTATTAACTAATTTAATAATATAAATCGGTTCTTAATTTAGAAAATCTGAATCTCTTTAGTTAGAAATTGATTATTTATTTTGCAAACCCGCCAGTAGTATGTGAGGAAATTAATTTTACTGAATTCAACTGCCGTTTACAACAGACTCATACGCATACATATAAATAATATGTATAAAAGTATAAAGAATCACACATTAAGCCAGAAAGCATTTAGAACGGAAACATGGAATCACGAAATTTTTTTACAGCAATGCATTTTCCAAGTGCTTAACCCACATTAATTGCATACATACATACATAGTATTTAAAAGTAAATAAAATGGGTGGAAATATTGAAAGACCGAAAGAGACTGTAAAAAGGTTATATGGGATTATAAAAGTAGCTGATATTTGCGTATTTACAGTACGATTGTCAAATTATACAGTGACTTGAAGATATGGAGCTTTAGGTGCGTCTGCTACGTTCTCTGTTGTTACATAAAATCTTTTTTTATTTTTGTTGTTAAAAAGTCAGAATGATCATAGTGAAAATTAAATAATTATTATATTGGTACTTATGATAATCACATGTTTCATTTCATTATATTTTAATAGCAAATGGATATCGTTCTAATGTTCTAGGTGGCTTACATATAAAGTCTCAAGTTTCAAATTTAGATTTGTTCCGTTATTATCTTTGATATCAGTTATTAAATTTGGTAGAACAAATGTAACATAAGTTTTAAGATTTCGGTTGTTATAGGTTAGGTTGAATATTGAAATTTTACAATTTTCGAATTTTATTACAATTATTCCCTTTTGCATAAATTTCAGTTTACTACAATCATGAGATACATTTCCGTTAAAGTGCTTCAATATTAGTATTCGTGGTTCAATTTCTACAACTGAGATTTTCGTTAAATATTTTAGTTTACAATGAGCTTCCTTGAACTCTAAAATATGGCTGAGACATTCATCGTTTTTCTTTATCAAATTCTTCTCTAATTTTCTTTTACATCTAAATTGTAGGTATGGTAATTATCATCTACCAGAACTCTATCAGTCGCTTTATGATCTCTTAAGAGTGTTATGTCATTGTTAACCCTGTATGTATGTTTGATGAATTGAATTTCGTCTTCTATTGTCTTGTATTCTGTTCAGTGTGAAATATTTAAACGTACTTCTGTACTCGGTTATAGGAGCTTGATGCTTAAGCCTGACCATATGGCCATATTTTAAAACTATTTTTTTCTGCAGTATGTATTACTGCTCTCAATGCCCTAAATAATGTGTCGTTTCCCAGAATGGCATCGAATGATTCCAATAAGGGCATAAGATAAAATTTAATTTTTTCTTTTATATTAAAGAGATTTACAAACGTGTGTTCCGTTATCTTAACATCTCCTACAATTGATTTTGCACGGAAAGGTTTTTCGTTTGGTAATCGCTTTTTTGCTAAGCTTGGCTTAACATAATTTTTACTGGAACCTGTGTCCACCAGAAGTTTTAAAATGTTTCCGCTCTCCGTCCTCACTTCAATGTATGGAAGCGAAGAGCTAATTATGCTAAAAAATAGACATCATTGTATCCTTCAAATTCATCCTCGTCCTCATTTTTGGATTGGGTCTCTTCACTTGACGTATCTATATGAAACGTTCTTTGATTTTCGAGAGGTGATTGATTATTGACCGATTGTGGTGGTATTTTCCACTGAAACTGATTCTGAGGAAGTCTGTTCATATAGTTGATTCGCCGTGAATGTATGCTCTGGTCCACCTCCATTGGTTCTGGTTCAGGTTGGGGCTACGGTGGCCTTGGAGTGGTATTTGTAGGTTGAAGTTGTTTGGAGGACTTTGGTCTGGCCTTCCATCTTGGTCGATTGCTTTGTGGCTCGTGAGCTGTTGGGTGGGATATTTTCCCAAATTTGGATATCCTTTCTTTATATTTTGTGCATGATTTGTTTGGTAGTTCTGGTTGTCCAGTTTCATGCATATATGATCGGCAGGTTCTCTGATTCCCCGTAATCGTGGTAGGTCCCCATTCAGACCCCTAATAAAGCACTTATTTGTGTATGATTGGGTCATCATGTGCAGAGCTTCGCTACCCATATCTACGCATCCCATTTTATTTAGGATTAGTGAAAGGTATTTATATACCTGTTGCTAGTATTCCGCTATGATCTTATTATCTTGTACTAAGGTTGTGAGCTGATATTCAAGGTTGAAATATCGCGTTTGTATGCAGAGTGCATTGCAAGACATTTAGTAATTGTCAGCCAATCTAGCGGCGTATTGTAGATTCTAATGTCGTATCGGCATTACCTGTTATCTTGTTTCGGATAACGCTAAGAATACCGTAATATTTTGGGATTCCCTTTAGTGGTTCGTAAATGCTGAGTATTCTGTCTACATTTTTTTTTCCACGAATTAAACTCTTCAGGGCGACTGGAGAAATTTTAGAGGCCTTACACTACGTCTGGAATTTTATTCAGTTCTCCCTGATTACCCCGATGCCTATCATCAGTAGTTTGATCGATTTTTGTACTAAGAAAAGAGTTTGGGTTAAGTTATACCGACTAAAAAATAAATATTTTTTTTTTGTTCTTCGGACGGCGTGTCAGTCTTTATTGAAGCCAAATATAGAACCTTAACTGAATTGATTGAATTTTATACTAGTTACAAACTATGATAATTTGCGATTTCCTGTCTACAAGTTATTTTACTATGAACTGTTGACACAGCCATTATTGGTTGTGTTTGATATTGGTCGAAATTCGGCCCAAATGCTATGTCAGCATTTATTGGTCAGAAATTAACAAAGCGCGTGTTAACTTATTACATACTTACATACATGGTGTGTACGCCTAGTCATGAATGTTGAGCTGAAAGAGACTATTGTTTTGCTATAAATTTCAGGTAAAACTCTGTTTCAAACTCAAGTATGGCCGTAGACCCTCGCTAAGCGTGCACCAATTGCTCCTGCCGAAACATGTAGACATACTTACATATGTATGTATGCTCGCCATTTACAAAAGTGCACTCAAATATACAAATATACGCAAATGTGTTTGTTTATTTTACTGACCCTCAAGCTGATATGATACTCTAAGGCATGGCATGCACACATCTATACATACATATATACATACAAAGATTGGCATCATTTAAATGTTGAACATTATAGCTGAGTAAATTTTCTTAAAAAGTTTATGCAACAAAAAAAGGGTTAAAAATTAAAAGTAAATGGAAGGAAACAAGGCTACGCGTATTTAATACAATACAAAAAATATTTACCGTAAAAACGCTATTGTACTGTAATCATACATACATACATATGATAAATCATATATATATTTATATTGACTAACGATTTCCCATACATATACACATACATACGTATATCATAAGTATGAGAATGCACATAAATACATACATACAAACTGCTGTAGTGTTATGAGAAAATATGTAGCTATAATAGGCTGTTTGGAGATAGTTAGTCGGCTTTGTACATACCTATGTATAAATACTATTAGATACATTGCAATCCAGAACGTATGCATATACATACATAGTAAGCAGCACCGAAGGAAACAAAAACCTATAAGTATTTGTCTTATTATTATTTTCAAACTTTTCGGCAACACAATTGACACCATTGAATTTCGCAAAAGCAAAAGCAAAAAAAAAAAAAAATTAATTAGCCGATCCGTAAACAGTAAAACTATTGTAAAAGCTTTAGGAAAATAATCATTTGTTGGTCAACCGGCAGGAATTCTTAGTAAGGAAACTGTAATGCGAATCGAAAAACTACTCATGCCAGCACATCCATAAATACATACATACATACATACATATGTTTGTATGTGAAACATATATGTGAGAAATACATACATATATACATACATACATATATGGTTACAATAGCGTAGTGTAGCGCAAAAAGTAGAACTGAATCAGAAGATATTATTGAGAAAAGAAAATACAAAATCTACATACAAACACACATACTTTAATGCTAAAGTGTTAAACAAATAATGTTAAGGAATACGTGGGGTATTGCGATCTTTTAAACATGTAAATACATACATACATTCATACGTAAAAGGTCTCATATTTTTTTTTTGTATTCAGGGACTATTGGTAAAAAAGTTGAATTATCTCATCGTTTGTTAAAGTTTAATTTAAAACATTCTGTACATATTTACAAGGAATGGTTTAAGGAACATTACTGTGTCTTTTGCGAATTGAAGCAGTCGATTTCCGATTGTTGATCCGACCAGATTATTTGCTCCTAGGTCTGTTTTCTTGCCCTGCATTTCCAGTATTTGCCCTCTACTGCATCTAGTTTGAAGGCAATGCAAGGACGAAAAAAGATGAATGGTAATTTTTATGCAATTATAACATTTCCGTGTTCTATAGCTTTCACAAAATTAAGGAAGGGAAGCCATCTTGTTATGGCACATTCTTAATTACATCTCATTCTTCGCTTCATAACCTGGCTGATTAATCAATTACAGCCTTTTCCCATTGGTTAAAAATTAATCAAATTTATCTCTTCTTTAATAAATTCTAATTTACTTTCAAAATTTAAAATTTCAAACTTTAAAATTTATTTCGTTTGATATACAAATGTTAAATCATTTAAATGTCTGGCTGATTAATAATTATTTGTTGTTGCTTCATACCTTGGCCGCCCGGAAATGATCTTTGTCACATTGCACGATCGCTAGTTTGCTATCCGTGGGTCTTCGGAGTGAAGAACGATGTCTTTTTCTTTTACGTTTCTTTTCGGTATTAGCGGCAAGAGTGCTCTCTCAAGAGCTGATTGGCGAAAAGCAGAAATTAACTAGATAACTTTTTAATGATTGTATGTATGTACGTGCATATGTATGTCTTTTCATATGCGCAGGTCGTAAGACAAACCGTAGAGATTGTAAGGACGCCCCAAATAAATATTCACATATATATGTAAAACAAATATACTTACATATTACATGCATATATGTATACATAAAAAAAAAACACATATGTACACACAATTCACACATAACTTATGCAAACAATTTACACATAACGTGCATACATACTTATATATTGTACATGCGCGTACATATGTATTTATGTGAAATGCATGCAAATTTGAAAACATACAAACAAGTATAGTTTCAGACATTTAAATGTGATAGTAGTTTTATATTGATTATTCATTAATTCATTAATGAAGTAAACACATGGAATTCAGTTATATTATAGATTTTTATTTTTTATTTAAACTATGTCATTACTTATTATATAATATTATGTTCGATAATACTATTATTATTATTATTATTATTAAAACTATTCAATGTATGTATTTGAGTATTATTAAATTGCTGATGTAAAAATAACAAACAAACAAAAAAAAAATAGTCTTTTGTTGCAAAACTGTATATTACTTATACATATATGTAAATGTATATAAATACATGTAGACACTGTAAAAGCAAATACATACATATAATACAATACATACCTATGTACGTGTTACACATGTACATAGTAAATACTTGTAAGTTGCTTCAAGGCAAACTGTAGTAGAGGAGATGGCAACTCTGAAAGAAGAAACCATAGAAAATATAAATTAATATTGAAAATTAACAAATTTGTAGTATATTTAAAATTACAATGATACAAGGAAATATAATTATATAATTACATGCAAACTAAGAAACCATAACAAACATAAATTAATGGCGAAGTAAATGACTTATAAGCACAATACACATTCATACCTACACGTGCATACACACATACATACATACATACATACATATGTACACATTAATCAACATAATTTCATAATACAGGAAATGAAAAGAAGCAAAAAATAGTAAAAGAAACCAGCAGAAAATAAGAAAGTAATCACAAAACTGAAACAAACAGAACAGAAAGAAGGAAACAGGAAACAACAATAACAAAAAAAAAACAATAAAATAAAAATGCTACAATTGAATTGATCAAAACATTAAACAACTGTCTCCGATTCATTTATTGTATTTTGGGTGGAAACAAACAGCGCATACAAAAGTTATGCACAAAGCGGTAAGTATAAAGTCAGGCTATGCTTTGGCCGAGATTGGAAAGAAATAAATGATTTCGAAAATTCCAATATCGCTTATACCCTTCTACGGCATGATCTAAATAATTATGAGGTGCAAAAACTTGGCGCGTGGTTACTTCCTATTGGAAATTTCGACAGGCAGTGGATTAATTGAATGTCAATTAGTGGGTCAATTAGCGAACATAAACTGTTTTTTGTTTCATTTCTATAGTACAATCTGCTAAAAAAATTTGCAAAAAATTGAATTTTATTCAAGCTTCAAATTGTAAGCAATAAAGTGTGTTTGTTGAGCTATTCTAGGTTACACCAGGCAACGCTATCTCATCAGAGCTATTCTGTTCTTATTTACTCAACTTTATGTTCCATCAATCTACGCTAAGCCGATCAATACCATCCGATTTCAGGGTATCGTCTCTCGATAGCATAATCCATTCATTTTAGAAAAAATTAGGTACAATGACCCGGCAGACACAGTGAGGATGGAGGGGCTTTTTAACAATAAATCTTGGGTTTTCCAAGCCCGGCAGTTTTGCTTAGTGAATTGACTATCGAGGTGGAAATCGTGGGCTCATCTGTCAGTAATTTCAATGCGTTGTTTAAGAGTGAATCGTTCCATTTTTGTTTATTGGCGTAGTTTTTACTTGTCGTGGCGTATACCGGAATAGCAGGCTATCTAAAAAACACCTCTCTTTCTTCTGTTCCACCTAAACTGGTAGAGTAGCTTATAAACAATTTCTTTTGCTACATTAAATAAAATTTCATATAAAAATTGGTGTAAATAAAGCATTAAATTTAGAAATGAAAAATCGACTAACAGCAGCTGGAAGAGGGCAAATTGTGTATGTGAGTGTGGAGCATTCACCCGGCACAGCAAATAATTTAATAATAAATTAAATAATAAAACTTAAGTGATGGGGATTTCCATAAAAAACATGTCTACCTTTTTTTGGTTAAAATAGCTAGATTTTTAAATATTTTTTCCATAAATACGCTGCCCGAAAAGTCTCTTAAGATTTGTGCTCTGCCTTCTTGGTTTCTTTAAATACTTTTATTAAATACAAGTTCTTCGAGTTTTGCCGATGAAGTTTCCCCATTATGAAAACAAATGAGATTACCTTAAATCGGCTGAAGACTACTCAGTTGTGTCACTTCCAATTTATGATTTTCTTCCAAATATAAACTTATTATGGCTGAGGATTACGATGCAGCGGTTGGTAATACCAAGTGAAACTAGGTCAATTTCCACCTGATCCTTCCAACAGAGTGGAGGTTTATCTCTTCCTCTGCTTTCAACTGCATTCGAAAACTTTCAAAGCTGGAGTGCTTTCATCCATTCGGACAACATGACCCAGCCAGCGTAGCCGTATAGCTAATCGTTCCATCATCTTTGGTATTCGTCGTTGCCAAAGCGCAAAATACCATAAATCGTTCGCTAAACTTTCCTCTCGAAGACTGCTGGAGCTCATCAGATGTGGATATCGTCCACGCTTCTGACAGTATTAGTGGTACTGCTGGTCGACCTCGAAGTTATGACTAAACAGTGACGTGAAAGAGATAAGTCGCGAATGCGATGACTGTTTGTCTGATGGCAAGAGATCTTTCGTCTTGTCCTCGTTCAATACCAGACCCTTTTACTTCGCATTTTCATTCAGTATGGAGAAAGCAGAACACACGGCGCGGTTGTTGAGGCTAATAATGTCACTATCATCGGCGTACGCCAGCAGTTGTGCACTCTTATAGTAGATTGTACCTTCTCTAATCACTTCTGCCGCTCTTATTATTTTCTCCAGCAATAAGTTAAAAAAGCCACACGATAGTCACCCTGTCTTATACATCGGTTGGTATCGAACGGCTCGGAGAGGTCCTTGCCAATCCTGTCGGAGCTTTTAGTGCTGCTTAAGGTCAGTTTACAAAGCCGTATAAGTTTTGCGGCGATACCAAAATTCCGACATTGCGAATTCAGAGGCAGCTCTTTTTCTTGCAGTCGAGGGCTGCTTTAAAATCGACGTGGTGCGTGTCGACCCTATTTTCACGGATCTTTCCCAAGATTTGGCGCATGGTGAATATCTGTTCAATGGGAATCAATTTGTTGACGGTAGGCTTTAGTCTTTCACACAAAACTATCGATAGGACCTTATATGCGATGTTAAGGAGGCTTATCCAATGGTAGTTGGCGCAGACTATGAGATCACTTTTTTTGTGAATTGGGCAGAGTACACTTAGGTTCCAATCGTCGGGCATGCTTTCATCAGACAATATTTTGCAAACAAGCTAATGCATGCACCTTGCCAGCTCTTCATCGCCATGTTTGAATAGCTCTGCCTGTTAGCCCTCAGCTACAGCCGCTTTGTTGTTTTTCGCTATTCGAACTTCGACATGGTCAGGTAGCGCAACGTCTGTTCCATCGACATCGATTGAGATTTCGGGTTCACCATATCCGGGTGCTTCATTTTCACTGACGTACAGCAGGCTGGAGGAGTGTTCCCTCCATAAATTCAGTATACTCTGGGCATCCGTCACTAGATCACCTCTCTGGGTCCTACAAGAGTTTGCTCCGGTCTTGAAACCCTCCGTGTGTCACAGTGTCTTT